ATAATTTTTTTTACCCATGTCTGATAAAATGTAAATACCAAATTTAAGTGTTTCCACACCAAAGATTTGTAATAAATTGTTAAACCTATCGCTCAGTTTTCAAAGTTTAAATGTAGAACATTTTAGGGAAACTTGCTGATTATCCTCCTGACGTAAAACCCGATGCCGGAGCAACCAACTGACCATGTTCGATTCTAGTCTAAGTCGAGTCAAATTTATTTATAATTCACATTTAAAAACAGCAGCTGTTACCAAAGTGCTTAACAATGAAAGTCAACGGCAGTAATTTAAAGGGAAAAAAAATAATTAAAAGCATCAAAAGTAAAACATAAAAACATTGAAATACTAAATCAAGTCACGCTGTGTTAAACGTCAGTGATAACGGGTGTGTTTTTAGGAGACATTTAAAAACAGGAAGTGAAGTGGCCTGTCTAATATTGGGAGGCAGATTGTTCCAAAGTTTCGGGGCCACGACTGAAAAAGCCCGATCCCCCTCTGAGCTTCAACCTGGTTTTTGGAACAACCAAAAGCAGCAGCTCAGATGATCTCAGCGCCCGAGAAGGAATGGTTGACATGGCTCAGAGAGATAAGAGTGTGCAAGGCCGTTTAGGCACGTAAAGATCAGCAGGAGAATTTTAAAATCAATTCTGACACGCACAGGGAGCCAACGAAGGGAGGACAAAACTGGTGAAATATGCTCAAACCTACGAGTTCCTGTTAAGAGCCGAGCTGGAGACGTGAAAGGGAGACCGGACTGACCCCATCATAGAGTGCATTACAGTAATCAAGTCGAGTTGTGATGAATGCGTGGTTTAGTCTTGTCCTACAGTCCTAAATCAGAAGAAGTTGAGATGGTAATCAAATGTGACCTGTTCCTTCAAATCAGAGATAGAGTAATACACACGGTTTCAGATTCTTGGCTCTTTCAGCTACATTTTGTTACCTGGATCATCCGGATATAGTAAGTGATTCCAGTGTGAGGATTTTTTTTTTTTTACGTCATTTATAAGAGGAAACCTCAAACCAAATTCAGGATTTCACAGCTGGGATTAAAATTACCGTATTTTTCGACCTATAAATCAGTTATTTTGCATAATTATCATGCCAAGTGACTTTTTTTATGTTTTTTTCCCATATTTATAAACCAATTTTTGGCTGAGATGTGACCGTTTTCATTCATTCTGACTTTGAAAATATTGAACACTACCATTTTCAGCTGCTAGATGGCACTCGAGTAGTATGGCATGCCGTTGTGTCATGTAATAGGTAAAATGGTAAATGGACTGTACTTGTATAGCACCTTTCTATCTGATCAAGACACTCAAAGCTCTTTACACTACAATCTGTGCCTCATTTACCCATTCATACAGCTCTATACTAGATCTCTACAAAGCTAATTGAACAAATCATCCTAAAGAGACTAATCAGAGCTTTATCACATTCAAACACTGATGGGACACACATGGGAGGCGATGAGGGGTTCAGTGTCTTGCCCAGGGACACTTCGGCATGTGATTGCTGGTGGATTCTAACCCCCAACTCCTGCATTGGAGGACGACTGCTCTAACCACTCAGCCACAGCCGCCCAGGTAAAAATGGCTATTAATGACACAATCGGCTTGCCATAGTCTGCCACCTTCGTCCAGCTCGCCTGGAGCAACCGTCAAATCAGCTTAATTTTGCTGCGCTGACAAAATGCGGCTCATTTGACCATTAAAGTTCATTTATTAAGTAAAAGTTCAACTGAGACACCTTTACTATAAAGTCGAGCAAACAAATAGTTGTTTTTAAGTGTTAATCTGTGTACGCTCCTGCGGCCGCCATTTGGCAGCCCATCAATTTTTAGCACAACACCGGCTCACATTTCTGGGTCGTCGGCTGTGACGGTGACGCAAACATACTTTAGGATTATATTTAGGAAATTTCCTTCAAGGGAACCAAATATAAGATATTCATTCATCATATTTTGACATAAACTAATTATTGCAGGTGTCTATATCTCACCAAACCACCAGTTCCTCAGTTGGGTGTGACGGGTCACTAATATGAAAACAGATGCTGTGGTTCTTTAATCCATTTGGAGTACTTTTCATTATTGATAGTTTCAGCTGGATATCTTTAATGTTTGGTTTTTGTCTGTTTTTTCAAGTTTGTATTCAAACTTTTCTGTGATATAAGTTGGGAGTCGGTCTTTTGTGCCATTTTCCTTCACGTGCAACTCAAATTTTGCATCAAATGTAGATTTTCATTCACATTTGTGAATGTTACTCCGTCGTAGAACTGGACAAAGTAATTGCTTGTCCTCATCATTTTATCAGCTGTTGATGAACGGTGGTTCTCTGAGGGACGCAAAGATCGAAGCTCAGCGTTTCTCAGTTTGGTTAAACATATTTTTGCCCTGTGGTGTGGGAGAAACACGTGCAAAAGTTGTATAAAATGTGAACAAAAACAGAATGCTGATCTCAAAAACTCTTAATTCAGAACGAAACATTAAATGAAATCAAATTGACTGATCATGTAATTGTGTTTCCTGCTGTCTCGCGTGTTTAAGTCAAAATAAAAGTAGAAATTACTGCATTTTTATTTGTTTTTTTCCATTTCCATCTCATTTTTTTCCATTTAGGATTGTTCTTTATGATGATATTAAGCGTTAAACTTATAAATTTGATCTGATGGGACGTGATGCGGTTTTATAACCGAGACCTACAACGGTTTGTGTCTGTGTGTGTTTAGCTCCAGCAGCAGCAGCAGCATCTCCCGAGACAGATGGGCCAAGGCCAGAGGAATCCGTATCCCCAGGTCAATCAGTACCAAGGTGAGACGCACAAACGCATTTCTTCGGCACGAATCAACTTTTCCTTGAACGAGCCGAGATGAATGCATTCGGATGTATGGCTTTAATGAAGTGGAGTGCCGAGCTGTAAACACTTGACGTTAGAGCTCATCCTGAGTCCAGTTGTGGATGAAAACAGGAGCCGAACCTCGTCCATATCGTTCACATCTGTTGGCGCTCAGAGATACTCTTCATCCTCTTTCTTCCCTCTTCTGCCTTGTTCATGGGAAAAATCATATATATATATATATATATATATATATGTTTCCTGCTCTGCCTGTTACCACGGCAACGTGTCTGTCCTGGATCCCCCAGAGTTCCGGTGGAGTCGGAGAGATGAATGAGAGGAGGGAAGTGGGGTGGGACTGGCAACGAGAGGAAGATGTTCTGGTAGGTAGAGGGTGAGGATGGGAAAGAAAAAGAAAGAGTGCGTGAGAGGATCGTGGCGAGATGAAGGGAGGAAGGAGGGGAGTCGAGTCAAAAGCCGTTTATAGCCATCGGAGTCTGTCTGCAAGCGTTTCAGAGAACGTGGAGAGGAAGAGAAGGATTATGGAGGAAACTGTTGGAGAAATACAGACGGTGTAAAAAGTGATGAGCTCTTTGATACTGGCACCTTGATTTTTACTGGCTACATCCTTCCTCAGATTAGAACCAGTAGATGACATGTTGCACTGAATCAGCCTCTAGAGTAGAAGTTTGGTCTGTTTGCTTCTTCGGAGCATTCAGGTGTGCGTTAACACAATCTTAAGGAGGGAAGACACCAGCTATGATCTTAAAAAACCAGCTGTTGCTGCTGCCCATTAGTCTGGAAAGGCTAATGGACATTTCGAAACGTTCGGAGTCCATCGTTTTACTGCGAGAAAGATTTTTCACAAGTAGGAAACATTCCGGGCAGCTGCCAGTCGTCCCAGCAGTGGGTGTCCTGGCAAATTCACGCAGAAAGAATTTGCACAACAAATTATGAACTACATCTCAGACTCTGGGTCATGATGGGACAACTGGAAAAAGACTGAACAAGTATGGCTTTTTTTTCCCCCCCCAGATTCTAAAAACAACGTGGCAGCACAACTTGGGTTTGTAAAGTTTTATCTGAAGGACATGCGAGACTTGTGGAGCAAAACCAGACCAGAGTAGATAACACGAGATATCAGTTCAAGCACCTCATACTAGCTACCTAGCATGGTGGTGGAGGGTTTATGGTTTGGGCACAAGTTGACTATGAACTCCTCCGTAGACCAAAGAGTTCTGGAGTTGTGCAAGGCCATCTGTCTGACAGCTGAAACTTGGACCAAGAAGAACCGAATGGCTGAAAAAAAGACAAGAATTGGGGTATTGGCAGTGGTCCTGTCCAAGTCTAGAACCTCAAACTGGTTGAAATACTGTGGTGGGACTTAAAGAGAGCTGAGCAGAAGCCAGAGTCCTTCCATTGCTGAGGTGTTGGATCAGGGTATGGTCCTACGTCTGTTTGGATACCTAAAACCTTACAATTTAAAGAGAATATACGTTCTTTTTCACGCAACGCAGCGTATTTGTTTTTCAGATGACAGTACAATCAATATGCAACGTCTGAATGTGTTTCGTGGTTTATATTACCTCCAACTCCGCTCACTTTTACGCCTGGAGTGCATGATCCACTTTGTTCTCACTCTGTTACATTTCCAGTTAGATATGAGGTGGGGGATTAGTGAAATGGTGTCTGAAGTGGGTTTATTAGAGGATTTAGAGACACTTCTTGCAAATCTCCCCAGCTCTTCTTCCACTTTGCAAATAGTAGGACGAAGAAAGAAAATAAGCCGGTGCTTGAGTTTGTTAAACGCTGTAGTGAACCGTGTTTTGTCTTGAAACGTAATTTATTTTTCCCCTCAGCGTTGATTTGTTAGATCTCCACCCAGAATAATCAACGTCTTGTTTTAACATCTTTTCGTTTCCATTCCTAGGTCCTCCCCAGGATCTGGCATCCAGGAGTCAGTCTCTTCAAAGCATTCGGACCTCACGGCTCCTACAGCAGCAGCACACCCAGCAGCAGATGGTCCAGATCAATTCTGTTCAGAGCCAAGGAGGCCCTGTGGGGCCCCAGACCGACATGGGACTACCTTATGGCGCCCAGGGGTCCAACCAGGGTCCCCTGTATGGACTCAACTCCATGAGCCAAATGATCCACCAGCAGCAGCACCAGAACCAAAGCGTCCAAGCCCCCATGGGTCTTCCACCGCAGCACAACCCCGCTGGAGGTCCGCCCCGGCAGGCAGGTTCAGGTCCTGGCCTGGGAGGTATGCCTGGGGGCCCTGGGAGTAGTGGAGCTGGGGGTTACGGAGGACAGAGCATGTTGATGAACTCCATGGCCCAGCAGCCCCTCAAAGGCCCTCCCACTGCCAAAGCCCAAACTCAGAGACTGCAAAGCATGCTGGGAGCTGGAGGAGGCGGTGGGGTTATGGCGGCTGGCGGCTGGCCGCAGCAACAAGGACAAAGTCTGCAGGCCATGGGAGGAGGAGTGGGAAGGACTACAGGAGGAGGGGGGGGAGACATGGTGGGGTTCAGTTCCTCCCAGGGTTATGGGATGCAGCCGGGACAACCTCCACGCATGGCCAAGCAACACTTTCCAGGACCCGGACAGGCGAGTCAGGGCATGGACCCCAGGGTGGGTAACCCAGCTGCGGTTATGGGCAACCCCATGATAGGCCCTCACATGGGGGGTCAGTCCAGGACCAACCAGCCCCGACCCATGGTCATGAACCAGGGGATGAACCAGGGGATGATGGGTCAGGGGATGTCTGGGATGGGGGGGTTTGGGCCGGGCCCTGGAGGCCCAGGAATAGGAGCAGGAGGAGGTGGTGGACCCTACGGACCAGCGGGAGTTGGAGTTGGAGTTGGAGGTCAGCCACAGGGCTACCAAAGGACAGCCAATCAGGACTTGACGTCTTATGGATATGGGGGCGGGCCCTCAGGTGGGGGAGCCTTTGGGTTGGGCGACGGCTCGGGGGCGGAGCTGGACTCAAGCGATGGTTGGATGGACGAACTTTTCCAGAACCAATAGCCAATGGGGAAAGTTTTTTTTAATTTCCTGACAGAACTGAACCTCACAGTCGGACAAAACCTGAAAAAAAAAAAAATCAAACGAAAAGGATCAGAAGATAAAAACTGGCATGTTTTGTTTTGTAAAACATGAGAAAGGTTAAAAATGGGTTCCTGTGTTCTTATGTTTTCTGTGTTTGTTTCTCTGTTTGTGTGTGTTTGATTTGAAAAGAGCTCTCATTCGTCCTGTGCATATTAACAAAATACGATATAGGGATTACGAGGTGCGCTTCGTTAGCTTCACTGTTTCCACCATGAAACAGGTTTGCTTCATCCTGCAGTGTTAGAAAGTGAACTCCATTTGCATCGAGTTGATTCAAAACCACGAACTGGTGAAGGAAAAGGAAATCTGGTTCTCAAGACGTCAAATTTGTCTCTTTGCTTCAGATCTTTTAAAATCCTACTCAGTGCTCCCATTTTGTTTTATCTTTGAACCCTCCATTTACCAGTACACCCCCCGTTTCAATAAGTAGTGACATTGTGTAAAATGTAGCTAAAAACAGAATGCAATGACTTCCAAATCTCCGAAATCAATATTTTATCCACAATTTCACAACAAATCAAATGTTTAAATGAATAAATTGTAGCCTTTTTAGGAAAAATGAGGTAATTTTGAATTTGATGGCAGCGACACATCTCAGAAACGTTCCAGTTTCCTAAGAGTCCCGTCTTTATTCCATCTGTAAATGTCTAGAACTGAGGAAACCAGCTGCGAGTCTTTAAAGGAGAATATTGTCCCATTCTTGTCTGATGGAGAATTTTAGCTGTTCAGCAGTTCTGGATCTTAGCTGGACTTTTTGTTTCATGATGTGCCAAAGGTTTGAGGGGTCTGGACAGCAGTCAGGTGTAGCGGTGTCCTGCTGAAATAGCCGAGGCCTTCCTTGAAAGCACGTCTGGATGGGAGCAAGACTTGTATGTACATTTTTGCATTGTTGGCACTAATGCATCCCCATACCATCAGAGAGGCATGCTTTTGAGCTGTTCACCCTTTTTACTATACTATATTTTCCCCAAAATTGGTACTTTTTTTTTAGTTTAAACATTTGGTATGTTTACAATGTTTCACCGTGAATAAAAAATACGTTCATAAGTTTTAGAAATTATTGCATTCTGTTAATCCGTTTATCCATTGTGCCAACTATTTCAAATTTAGGTTGTTTTAAGTAAATCTGCCTCTCACACGCCCCACCTTATCTCTACTCCTAAGCCAGTTTTCCATTGTTTAGTCCGCCACGACTTGCTTCGACGGTCTCTGTGGTTCTTGATATACTTCGAGTCCCGACTCGATGTGGGCGGAACCGTCTTTAAATGCGGCTGCCTGAAAGTTCTGCGGCGTTATTTTCCATCCACAGTGAATACAACACAGCAGTGGGCAAATTAGTGACAAAGACACAAAGCACTCACCGCCTTCTGGGTAGTTTCCAAAAAATGCTGTGGCCGAGTCGAGGCTCGTAAGTCGAGTCCATTTGGTCTGAATTAAATAATAAACGTGAGTTGTTGTGAAGGAGATGCTCTTATGATTGACATCTCTCTCTGGCCAATCAATGGCCTGCATTCTACTGGCATCACATCTTCGTCTCGGCTGGATCCTTGACAGAGTAAGTCCTAAGAACCGAGCTTAGAGAGGGTGGGATCACCCAATGGAAAGACTCTGAAGCCAACACAGAGCTGACCCGAGTAGGGCCAAGTCAAGATCATGGAAAAAGACAAACAGTTCTTCTCATCCTACCTCTAGAGGCTTTTATATTTCTTACTCTCATTTCTCTGCTTAAATTGTGCACATCATAACAGAAAAACCAGTTCTTCAACCACTCGTCAGTGCATCACAGGCACAGTCTGCCCTCTTGTGCTTTTGCTAGGCAACCGACCCAGGTGGCATTTTTTTTTTATTTAGCAGGGATGGAGGGGGCTTCATTTCCTGCGCTGTCGCACTGGATGATGGGTCTGCATGAAGAGGAAGACAAAGAGTGAGAGGGAGGGAGAGAAAAGGCAGCTAAAGCAAGTACTTGGACTCAAAAGGCGTGCATGTGCACAACGACAAAACAGGAATCAACCCGGGGAGCGTGCACGGATGTGAGCGAGGCAGCTGACAGAGCTAATATTACATGAAACCGTGTGTCTGGGTGACACGAGCCACATGTCAAACATCAGGCGGACACAACGCAGAAAGATCTCTGGGCACGAATGTAATCGAGCACCGCAAGTGGCTTCTTTGTTTTAAGAGAGTTCAACCTAAAGCCCACCTGTTCTGTTTGTTGCGATATTTAATCTTTTACAAGAACTTTGTCATTTGAATCAGCCTTTTATTGTTATTATTATCGCTTCAGTGTTACGGAGTGCAGTGAGTGCCAGTTGCAAACGTCACAACCGGTTGGAGAAATCCTTTCAGTTCATATACATACACATTACTCTGGATTGATTTTAAACCAAATGAAACGAGCAGTCCTTGAAGGAGTGCGTATCCCCCACCACCTCACGTGCCAAAGTTTTCAACAAAGATCACGCACTATCTGGTAAAGCTTAGAGTGTGTGTTGCGGATCAATTTAAGCGTCTGCTGCTCTAAATTTTAGCTCAGTGTCTGTAAAATTGACATTTACAGCTGTTTGTTTTTGCTAATATTGCTTTGCTGTGGTGTGGTGGCCATCTTGAATCAAGTTCAGGCCTCAAGACCAGTTGATGTTCAACTCATGCGTAAACCTGTCACGATAAGTTTTGCTGGGCGATTAATTGTCTCAGAAATTATAGCGATAAACGATAATATTGTTTGAAATTTGACAATAATTAGCAATTATTGTCAAATTTAAGAAGAAATGTTGGGTATTTTTTGTGTGTAGTACCTTTTTTGACCACTTAATAGCAGCAGAAGACGGTTTGAACCGAAGAGTGGATAGTGAGGGAGCGAGCAGCGTGTCTCTTTAAGAAAAATGGGAGGGAGGCCCCTTGACGTGACATGGGCTGTCTCCCTTTTTTTCCTGTTCTCAAAATGGCAGACGCTCGGTGTGGTTTGAGCTCTTTAGCATAGCATTTTTTCACACAAAGCTTTTAATTAAAAATCTGTAAACCAGTTCTCAGCTTCTTTTTGTAGAGAAAAACAACTTTTTCCACAAAAGCACGGGTTTCCACCGTGAATTTTGGAGCTTTGACAAGACGGAGGGGTTTTTTTCTCGTTAGCTTAGCTTGTAGCTTAGCTGCTTTTTAACTATCCAAAAATATGATTTTGGACGATTAAAACAGATTTAAAAGAGAAAGGTGGGGCTCAGTGAAGAACACCGGAGTTGAGCCTTTTGTCATCCAGTGAAAGAGAGAGACGCAAAGAAACGATAAAGCCGATAAATGAAAAGGAGGTTGAAAATTTTCATTTATCATGCGATTAATTGATTTATTGTTTATCGCAACAGGCCTACTCACGAGATTTTTTTTTTTTACGGTACAAACCGCACAAACAGACACTGGCAAAAACAATTGTCGCACATCTTTGCCTTTAGTTACCGGCATAAAAAAAAAGTTGATCCTACTTTAGCTAGTAAACCTTAAACATAATTTTTTTTGTTTTCTAACAAAAAGAAAATATAAATCTGTCCACACAGTTATAAAAATTGTATGCATACAGTTGAAATGATTTCCCCAACCAATATATTTTTTTTTTGTATCTGGCACTTACGGAGCTCCGTACTCACTAAAAGAGTGACCCCCAAAAAATGTTAAAATAATTTTAATTTCCCTGCCTGAATCTGTATCTAGAATAAAACTGTTTTTATGCATCATCATTAACATAAAGTGGGTTTTAATACAGTAGGTCTTTGTGACATCTCTTACGTGTTTTGTAATCTTTAATCACGAGTGTCTGTTTCCATGACGACGACGTTGACAACAAAACCAAAAAGCCTTCTCTGTAAACTAACTGTCTTTATCCGTCCTCCGGTTGGTTGTTGAGTAATCCGGCCCTTTAAAGCCAACCTGCGAGTGTTGGAAATGAGGCTCTGCACTTTGTTTTTTGTCGTAAGTGTGAACAGGTTTGTGGAGTTTTAGCCCTCAAGTTTTTTTTGTTTTTAATCAGGAAATCTGAGTAATTTTAAATCTGCATATTTTGAATCGTTGAGTCCGGTTTGTGCAGAAAAATAACTTTGAGGGCTCGTTTTCAGAAAAGCAGGAAGTGTGTCAGAAAACACCTGAAATTACCCAAAGTGGACGCAGGAAACAAAAACTCTTTTTTTTTTTTTTTTTTTTTTTGGTCCATCTGTCCTGTTTATTTTATTTAGTTTGTTTGATTTTAAACTGAGCGCTCGAGATTGGATTCAGGCAGAAAACAAGGAAGCTTCCTCCAAATATCACGTACCGGGACCAAGTCTGTAGACGTTTTAACAGAAGCTGTTGTTCTTCATGTTCTTCTTTTTATTTTATTCTTATTTTTACTGGTGCTGACATATATGTGATTATGAGAAAAAACTATATAAAAGATAATGGCTATTTGTAAATATGTTTTTACAGGTTTAAATACATCAGATATTACAGTCTACTCTGTAAAGAAATTACTGTTTGTTGGAAAATAGAGAAGTATTTTTATTTTCAAAGGTTTTTTTTTGTTTGTTTCACCTTTAACCCATCTGAGCTATGCCATTGCACTTCAGACAATGTCTTACTACTAATTTGTATTGTAAACCGCCTCTTTTTTATTTTATTATTTTCATTTTTAACTCTTAAGATTTAGTTCTGTTCTTAAGCAGTGCTTCTTTTTATCCTGTACAGAAAAATGAATTGTTAACAAAAGAAAATTGCAAAACCTTTTTTTTTTTTCTGCCTTTTATTTTTTTTCTTTTCAAAAAGATACAATAAAGAGAGAATGTTCTCGCTGGTCATATTAAACAAAAGTTTCAGAGTTTCTTTACATTTTTATTGTATCACCTTATTATTTCTAAGAACCGCTAAATATCTATAATGTATAACAACTGACTACATAAACGAAAAACATAGCTTTAATAATTCATCTATGGATTAAAGCCAATCATATATTAAGTGTGTGTGGACGTCTGGACAGAAATAATCTGTTTGAGGAGTTTCAGTCGGGGTTTAGAGCTCAAAGCACAGAAACAGCACTGGTGAAAG